CGTTATGGTCAACAAACACCCATTGATATTGATTCTTATTTTAAGCAAAATAATTTTCAACTTATTTCTTATTGGTCAAATTTATATAATTTAAGTATACAATATAATATGAAATATTTAAATTCTTTAAAAGTATTTTTGACTATAAATAAACATATTCGTTTTGATTATAATCCAATTATACGTAATCAAACAAGTCAAATAATGGAAAAAATAATTAATCAATTGAGTGTTGATTATGAAAATAATGATATATCTAGTCATCATATTCTTATTGAAAAATCTCTACATCAACTTATTGATTTTCTTGATGTTATTAATCAACGTTTTGTTAAAAATCAAACAGATATATATTTTTTAAATAATTTAATATTACGTATGATTGTTGATGAATTTTTACCTAAAGAGACAAAAACGGATAAAAATAAAGAAACAATTGAGAGAACATATTCTTTTATTCGAAAAATTGTCGATAATTTTTATACAAGACGAAATACAATCAAAATAAATGATGAAACATTAAATTATGTCCATAATCGACTAGGTAAATTTTGTTTACTAACAGTTTTTGATAAATTTTGCTTGATTACAATGATATTTAATATTTTCCATAATTCATTGTATTTTTTAGGTCTACAAATTTCTTCTCAAAATCAACAACAACAAAAAAGTACAAGTTTTATGTCCAATGAAATAAAAAAGACAGTAACTAGTGGTGATCTTAATCAATATTTACCATCATCTAAATATGATCAAAAACAACAAAAATTTCATGAAAATATGGATAATGATATTTATATGAAACAATTATCTAAAAAATTGACTATACGTGAATTAGAAGATCATCTAATTGAATTAAAACATAAAAAATTAAATATAGCTGGAGTAATTAATAAATTACTTAGTCGTTATTGTACAGAATGTTTAGATGGTGAAAAAACATTGCCAAAAGTAATGTTTGATAATTATTTTAAACGAATAGATGAATTAGAAACAATTTATTTTGATAAAACACAAATAAGTGGTTATCCATCACCAGGTGTTATTGCCATATTAATAGATTATTATTCTCGTATTAATTTAAATTTAGAAAAAGTAACAAATTATATGAATTTAACAAATGAATTATATCCTGAATTTAAATTAGATCCACATAAATGTGTAAGTGTAATAAGATTATTAATTAATAAAAATTTGTATGATAAAGCTATTGAATTAATTGAACAAATGGGTAAATTTGATATAGTACCACAGTATATGTATCGACGTGTAAGAGATTTATTATTAGATTCATATCATTCATTATCTTATAATCAATATTCTTATCTTGTTGATTTATTAATTCAAAATAATTATGTTGATCCATCAGCAACAGTTCTATCAGTAATTGTAAGAAAATGTTATGAAGAACAAGGACCATTACCTGCATTTGATAAAGTAAAAAATTTATTATTACAATATAATAATTTAATATGTTTATTTCCAATAATACGTAAATTATTGAGAGATGATTGTACGGATGATTTAAAACAAGTACTTGTTAAAATTGGTAAAATACGTACAAGAACATATGCCTATGAACAATTGGCATTTGCATTAATACATGAAGGACGATTAAAAGAAGCTGTTCGAGTATGTCAACATATTACACGTTCAACATTTGATGAACATTGTCAACGATATGTTAGAGAATTATTATATTTTCCATCATCAACTATTAATAATAAACAAGAAAATAAAATAAAAAATCATGATAATGAAGTTGATCATGTTTTTGATACAAATCAAATATCATTAATTAATTTTCTTGATTATATTGAACAATATCCAACAAATTCACGTCATATATCGCTTGATACACTCTTCTATAGTCTATTTAAAGCCTACGAGAAAATGGAACGTCTAAATGACTTAAAATCATTGATAGTACAGTACAATATGTACAAATATTCTACAAAATTATCGGATAAAACAAAACAATTATATGAACAAGCCAACTTTGATTTAACATCATCGCCACCACATGTTCAACAAAAAAAATATACAAATAATCGATTTTTACGTGATAAAGATTATGAGGATATGAACGAAGACACTGTTGTCAGAATATAGTCCTGTTGAATGCTCAATTCAGTTAGTAACTTTCTCTTATAGTGACCTTTTCTTATATTGTATCTGTTCTTTAATATATGTGTCTGTTTTCTTCTAGTTTTTTGTTTCTTTTTGCATTGAGTGTTTTTTTTTGTGTATGTTTATTTTGTTAGCATTGTTATAGTTTTTGTCGTTATAAAGAACTATGTTTTTTATATAAATCTGACGAAATTATGGCTTGTGTTTTTCTCTCTCTCACTCCGTTTTTTTTACGAATGAAAAATAGTTACTTCCAGGAGAATCATTTCTCCATTTAAACAAGGCCTCTTTTCAGCCAGTGATAGGGTATAATGCATCAAAAAACTTGAATAAGACACAGTTTTGCTACTTTATCAAACGCTTGTCCTGCAGATAGAAATTCGAAAAATAAAAACGTCTAATCACCCTTCACAAATGTCTAATATAATGAATAATCTTCATTGAATGTAGAATTTTGAAAGATGTTTGACAAACAGATTTAGATTTCTATTAAAGTTTGAAATTGCAATATACTCGCTCGCTTTTTTGCCCTGGATAGATAGCCTACAGTATTCTCTTTAAAATAGGAGACAAGTGAGACTTTCATCTTCAACCGTTTTGGTCTGAGATCGAATTTTCTTGGAGTCCTAGTATTAAGAGCCTCAAATCTATCTGGAACATAGGTTATCGATTGTGGTGGTTTTTGGAGCGGTTTGTTTCCATTACGAATATTAAAAATCTGGTGGAACTTATGTTAGATGAAATAACCCATTTTCGACTACTTTCATACAAAATCTATAATTCACTCAAAACAAGTTCAAAATACTTCAAAATATCTTTATAATTATTTAGCGGTTTTGCACATCAATAAATAACAAAAATGCTTCGGATCTATTATTCTTTTAGCTATGATAATCCCGAAAAGGAATGAAAACATAAGTCAAAGACAATCAATCTGAGTCTCATGGCAGTGTTCGTTTTCAGAAAAATATTCATTAACCTGAAGAAAACCTATATTAGGTGAAATAATCCATTTTTAGTTATTTTTACCGAAAATTAAAATATCCATAACTCAGTTTAACGGCTTGTCCACATACAGCGGCACTTCGCTGATCAAGTTTTGTTTTTTGTTTTTTCATCGGGAGATCGATAGGAGCCGATCACCACACGTAGTTTTTTATGCTGATCAGAAATTCGGCCTTTATTTTGAAAAAAAACTGAATTTTCAATTAAACAATTTAAATTCTAGCCTAGAGATATTCGTAAAATAATTTTAAAAATATACTGTCGAATTGAGAATTCAATTCTCTACAAAGTGGCTCGTTTTGTTTTGAGAAATATTTCTCAGTTGAGCCACAAGGGCTGCTTGCAAGTTTGAACTCCCGACTCGATTTAAAAGCCTGAAGCACCTTCTCGAACTTTGTTTGCAAGTGGAGTATATTCAGGATGGCTAGAAGTACTCAAGCTATAAGTATGAAGTTGTTTGAAGAACGTTGAGTGCCCTAAAATGGTGTGACAAAAAAATGTGTAACAGCGAGCGTTACGTTTGTTTTTTGCTTTTTTTACGCAAGTAAAAATAGTTAGAAGAAAATTTCTTTTACCGCCGAAAAGCTCGTTCGATGCTCTACAAAATTTGCTCTAGAAGTATTTTATTTGGAGAACGACTTTCGCAGGAAATTAGAACTTTAACAAGAGAACTTCGAATCTAGGGTCTTTTTATGCAGCAGCGTTACGCGATGAAAAAAACTTTCTCGAAGTTCCAGACTTCAACCAAAAAACTTCGTTTTTATAGCATACATAGAGTATGATGAGCTGCGTCGAATGGCGTTTGAACGAACTTTCTAGCTCTCAAACTTTCCGAGATAATTGAGAAAAGTGTGTCAAAAACGTAACAGCGTTACGTTTGGACAAGCCGTTAAATCGATGCAAAGGACTACAAAAACTCAACATACTGTTTTAATAATAACAGTTTTTAATAGTAATAACAGTTGTTTTAATACTCTGTTTTATCTGCTCAATATGATTCTATACTGGAGAACAGTAAAACGGATTTTCTTATGTCGGAAAATTTCTAGAAAATCTTATCACGAACGAAAGTATTTTCTATTGATACTAAAAATTTTACTTACAATAAACATAATATGAAGCCGAATGACGGTATTACGGTCAGAAAGTTAACATTCAGAAACACTGATAACGTTTAGATAACATTCTGTTCAAGATCGCATTGTATTTAACGTTACCCTTGAATCAAATCATAAAAATAAGAAATGGATAACCGATGATAAGACAATAAATCAATGTTATTGGTGACAGAACTTTGAAACGTCATTCCGATATATTAGGCAGAGCTGGGGAACACCAGCTAGGTACAACTCGAACTCCAACTCCACTTCAACTCCGAATTGAAATCTATTTGTTCTTTTGCCCTCCTGTTTTTTAATTTATCCGTATAACGGTCCTGTTTTCTTTTACAAAAAAATCATTATAATAAATCAATATTACATTTCAATAATGTTAATTTTGAAAGCATATTCGCTGTTTTGAGAACTAAAATTATCACAATCTGAGCAGATTTTTCTCTTTTTCTTCTCTTTCGAACCTACCATATGATCACAACACGCATTTCTTTTCCTTCCGTGTGATACATGTGCAGCTAGATGTGAGATGTATTATATGTTATGTTATTATATGCTGAGCACACGTTTATATCGCTCGCGACAAAAATAGATAAAAATCAGACAAAAAGAACTCTCGCGAAGAAAATGAAATGGAGTTGAAGAAATTGTGAACCGGAGTTTGAGTTGACAAAATCTGTCATCAACTCAACTCCAGTCGTTTAAAAAGCCAACTCCAACTCCGCAAAAAAAACGCTCAACGCCAGAGTTGAGTTGCCCAGCTCTGATATTAGGTAAGTCTCGGTATGCAGAAGTCAACATAGAGCTAAAAATAATCGAAATAAACTAATTAGAACTTAACATAATCGTCAATTTTTTTCAAGAATAAAACGTTGAAGTACATGTTTAAAAGAAGAAAGTGATTGAAACAATACCAATCAAATAAATATCATAAATAATATAAAGAAAAAAACTGATGAGACAGACAAATACACATATAGAGGAACGTATGAGCAAATATAAAATGAAAAAGTGTTCATATTTAAAGACACACACGCTATTTGTGATTGTAATAATGCGCGTATTCTCTGTTTAGAGACCTGCATTAGATGTAGTCTGATAATTATCAAGATAAACATACATAAAAAATAATCAGTTTTAAACAATAAACAATAAAAATACATAAAGGAAACTAACTTTTGACACTGTGTCGACATACTGAGAAGCTATATGTGTTTTGTTGAGATTTCACTTGCTTTTTTGTTTGTTTCTTCATTAAATTAAAACAACAATAAGAAAAAAACAAAACATGGTTATACCTTCCAAAGATAAAACAAGTAATTACATAATTAAAACAGAAAAAACAACAAATATCTCTGTCCGTGTAAAAATAAATCATCTTATCATCATTCAAAATGTCATTGTTAGACTAGGAGAAACGATCAAAAAATGCTTTTGTAATACTACCGGGACGATGTTGATGAGCAGCAATCATTTGTTCAATAGAGTCTTTAACCTACAATAAACAGTATAAAACAACTCAGTGAAGAGAGTTTTTGTATTTTCCATTATTCCTTGATAATTATAGACATACTATTTTTGCTAATTCTTCTGGTGTTTGATTTGGATCATGTAAAATCGGTGTACCGAGATATGTTCTGAAATAAACAAAAAAAAATGAATAAATCGAATAGAATACGCTACAGTTGATTTTACTTCATTTTAACTGGAAACATCCCATAAATGGGTACTAACGGTAGTCGAGTCTTCTCGTAAATATAACGAAGTAAACCTTAAAATAAATGTTAGATATTTAAGTATTTTATTAGTCAGTTAGTTATACTACGTACGTCGACCACATGCCATGCTACGAAATGCTTCACGACAATTTTTTGTAAACATTGGAACAATTGGCTAAACATAAAGTAAAAACGATTCCAAAACACGAAAAACAAGAAGTAACGGGTAGTCCATAAAGAATGACCGTCTGAGTACTTTTCCTTTTATCTTTTAATATTTCAGTCCCTTAGAGTTAGTTCTTTCTTTAGAAGATGCGCCGTTCAATTCTCTACAAAATCGTCTATAAATAGTCTGATAAAGGCCAACGCCTTCGTTTTACTCGAAGAAAAACAACAGTTGTCCAGAAGTCTTAACTTTGTAAAAGTTTTTTAATAAACTTGGTTCACAGCTGAAACCATGCTAATGGTTGTCTAACCTGGCACTTAGATATTGCCTTGTACTATTCAAGTGTACTCTTCCGATGGAATCAAATTAAAGCTGTTTCTGTTCACTTTGATTAATAATTTTACTTACTAAATCGTGAAAATTTTCGGAGAACAGCATCGACAATTCTTGATAAGCGGCATAATCAACTCTTTCCTCAATATTCTGCTAGAGAAACCATTTCTGTATAAAATGACACAATATTGAGCTTAGTTAATTGTTCAGTTTTGACTGATTTACAGTGATTTTACTAGAAGGTGCCAAACTGGTATGTGTGCGAAAATGGTAAAAAGAGGGTTTGTGTCATTTCATAAATTCTGTACCAAAAAGCCAAAAGTAATGACATAAAATTTTCATATCAGCCAGTCGATAGTTTTTCAAGGGCTACATTTTAAACTACTTAGAATTCATTCAACCAGAAAATCCGACTTTCTATTTGAAAAAGAGATTTTTTTTGTATTATAAAGTTGGCCTTCTGGACAACTGTTGTTTTTCTTCGAGTAAAACGAAGGCTTTCGCCTTTATCAGATTATTTATTTTTGTAGAAAATTGAACGGTGCATCTTCTAAAGACGAAACTAACTCTAAGAGACTAAAATATCAAGTGATAAAGGAAAAATACTGAGAGAGTTATTCTTTATGGCTCACCCGTTATAGTAAAAAGACTACTACCTGTTTCAAAATACAAGGCACCCTGCCGTTTTTTGAATAACTCACGATAGAAAAGAGATAGAGACATGCGGTTTTCACCACTGTGTAGCTGACACTTGCAGAAATTAGAAAAAGGGTTTTTTTCCGA